GAAATTTTGTTTGTTTACTAAAATAGAATTCCCATTAAACAACTGGTAGATAATAAATATAATGGGGTCGATAAACAAAATAGAATTTTTAATGTAATAGCCGCCATTAATTCTACGGTGCCATAAAATAACGTAACAATACGGTTATTAACTACCGCTTTAGTGGCTTTTGGAATTGAATTTATCCAACTAATATTTTATTAAAACTCCATACCTACATCAACGTTTCATAGTTTTATTAATATTTTTATTAAATTCGCACATTAACTGCTTTAATTTGACTAAAGTCCTATTAATATTATTTTTTTTTAATATCTTACTCAATTATAATTCGAAATAATTATAAATGGGTAAAAATTGTTGCGCTTACAATATACGAATCGATCGTTCCCAATAGAAACGTGAACAACTCACAGCAGAGCTAAAGTGATAACAGAATAAATTCGCAGTTCAGAGTCGAAGCCATAAAACTTTCCAAAGCTGCATTTACAGTTATAAAACGGGTCGGTATTCCATTCGAAAACCGTAAAGCAACATCTTCAGTACGAGCATCGAGAGAATGTTTCGAAATCCGTCTTTCGCCACTTCGCACCTTTTGCGGGTTTTCTCTATTTTCCTGCGCCGCGGAAAATGTTTTATTATACACGGAATCCCGTCCGTTTCGAGCGATTTCATTCGCGGATGATGTACAGGGTGGCACATTAGTATGGAAAAGCTCAATATATCTGTTATTGAAGAAGATATCAAAAAAACTTTATTACAAAAGTTGTAGATCTTTTTAAACTGCATATTTTAAAATTAGTTACATATATACAGTGTCCCATTTTTCCGTAGTAGATCAAACTTATACTTTTTTAAATGGAACGCCCCATTTTTTATTTAAAAATTGAATTTAGCTCGTTTTCAGCTTTCAAAAAATATAATTTTGTATAACGTTATAATGAGTGGTTTAAAAGTTATGACCATTTTTCCAAGAAAATCGTACTAAGTTTACCACTTTGTAGAAACTAAATGGATTGAATTGAAAATAAATTTCAGGTTTTACAACATTGCAAATATCCTAAAAATGTACAAAATGAATATTTTTTGTCAATTAAATTAACAGAGAAAATGTTACTTTTGCGTTTGAATCCACCCTTTAAGCAGTATGATTCAAATTGACAAAAATTATTCATTTTGTACCTTTTTAGGATATTTGCAATGTTGTAAAACCTGAAATTTATTTTCAATTCAATTCATTTAGTTTCTACAAAATGGTAAACTTAGTACGATTTTCGTGGAAAAATGGTTATAACTTTTAAACCACTCAGTATAACGTTATACAAAATTATATTTTTTGAAAGCTGAAAACGAGCTAAATTCAATTTTTAAATAAAAAAACAGGGTGTTCCATTTAAAAAAGTATAAGTTTGATCTACTACGGAAAAATGGGACACTGTATATATGTAACTAATTTTAAAATATGCAGTTTAAAAAGATCTACAACTTTTGTAATAAAGTTTTTTTGATATCTTCTACAATAACAGATATATTGAGCTTTTCCATACTAATGTGCCACCCTGTATATGCACCTGTACGCCTCGTACATTATCGGTCAGTGCGGAGTTCGTTAATTAAAAAAAAAACGTCGGGAGCAAATGAAAATTTAGCGCTCGAAATCCGAAGTTCCCCCGTGTAAACACCATCAGAGCGTTTCGATTCCTTCTCGCAAAGTGTATTTTTCCAGTATAATGTTAATCGATTTCGCTCCGGGGGTGGATGCCAAGTTCCCAGCATTCAAATTCGATGGAAATCTTTTTTGCTCCCTGTTTATTTTGTTGCTAAAAACCCAATTGATGCGAATTTCGCGATGAGTCGGTTTTGTGCGAAAAAATATTCATGCAGGGCTTTAGAGGGTGTACAAATAGCGCAAATAAATTACAAATTTGAGGCGCCGAAAATTAATTTTGAGGCTTTGAATGAACCCGATTTTGGAAACAAAAACTTGCATAAAGGCGTTAAATTTTCCGTGTAACCGCTAATTCAATAATAAATAGCGAAATAACCGGAGACGTGTGAGCCTCAAAGCTCCGCATAAACCTAATTAAATGATTGTTTAAATCTCCGCATTATCCTGATGAATGCGAACGCCCACATAATTTCCTACGAAATTATTCATTCCTGTTCGTTTTGCTGTAAACCAGGTTCACCTACAAAGCATCTTAACTACATTACGAATTCTAATTACCGGTTAGCTATTCTATTATTCTAGCGTGCAATCTAATCATTTAATTATACTCGTTGAAATAATATTCCTACATCAATCTAACTCAAATTTCTACTAGATTTTAAGGGCAGGGTATTTTAAATGGGAAAACGTAGGTTCAGTAATTCCAGTAAGAATCTTATTTGGTTTCATCAATTGATTTGAATCTTTCTTATACCTAATATAGTGTAATTAATATATGTAGATTAATCAAAAACTGAAATTTATTTGCAATGCTATTTAAATGGCAAAACGTAATTCTAGTAAGACTCGAGTTTCCTCGAACGGTTGTGTGAATAATTTTAGTAGGATGAAAAATACTTATTACAGAACGATGTCTCCTAGTTTATAATCTTCAGACTGTAATAAATTGGAAAAAAACTAATTAAAGTATTTTAGAAAATGATGATGATAGATTCATGTAAATTATGGTGAAACCTGACATAAATGTCAAATCACAGAACAATTTTTTAAATTTGACTAGCGACAGCGGTGCCAAAAGTATCCGTTTTTCAGATATTTTTGGATAATTTGCACTTTTTTAAGGGCACGTAATATGACATAAGGTATTTCCAGTACACCGGAATACTTTTAGAGCACTTTAATGAGTATTTTTAAAACTTTACTTTTATCTTTTCAAATTGCAGGGAAAAGAATTAAATTTAAAATATTTTGAATAGGATTTCTTATTTAACTTTCTTGTACGTTTGATTTTATGTCAAGTGTAATCAAACACGGAACATCTACTAATGAGTTAAACTAATCTCATCCCATTTATTGTGGAAAAATTTAACCAAAAATAGTTCTATATATTAATTTCTTAAGAAAAACAAACTTGAACAGAGTTCTCAGCAAATGAGTTAAGTTTATTGGAGATACGAGTACGAGTACAATAAGTCGTTTGTTATAAGAACAAAAAATAGTTTGACGCACTAGCATCAATTAGTTTTAATTAGTAAATATAGGCCGTCGAATTCAACCATAATTAAATCCAATTAACTTCGCAACGCTTCGACCTAGATCTTTTGCGAGGGACCGCGAATAGGTCCCCGGTAAATAAGGTCCCTCCAACCATCGAGCTCCACAATACCTCCCCGGGGCGAGCTCTCCCGCGGTTCCGCTTATTCCGGGAAACGCGGATCGTAAATTAGGAATATTATTATTTAAAAACACGTTTCGCTCATTTAATTTTAATCTAATTAAAGTTTTAATTGGCGCCGGACTCGTTTGCGTCGCGACGCCCCCGCTCGATGCGATGCCGCGTTCGAAATCAACGGCGGGACGTCTCCCGCTCCCCGGAATTCCGGGACCGTAATAATAATATATAGTTGGCGTTAAGGCTTTAAGTGCCCTACAGAACATTCGCTTAATGCGGTAATTATTATTAAAACACGAGAATTTCGTGATGTATTATTTCGTAACCTGTCCGAATATAGCCCAGGACAAAATAGTTCAAAGACACAACAGCCCTCAGATAAATTGGCATAAACTGAATATATGGATATATTGGGAGATTTTTCTGAACTCGATTTTGGTTTTCTGAACAGTGCTGGAAAGAATTTTGAGAAATTCGTGTGATAGTTTCTTTTCTCCTAAGCTATTATTTTTGTCTTTAAGGCCGCCAAAGCACGCCCTCAAATTCATAATTCGTGGGGTAATATAGAACTATTTTTGTAAAATTTTTCCACAATAGATGGGATGAGATTAGTTTAACTCACTAGTAGTACCTGTTTGATTACACTTGACAAAAAATCAAACGTACAAGAAAATTAAATAAGAAATCCTTTTCAGAATTTTTTAAATTCAATTCTTTCCCCTGCAATTTGAAAAGATCAGAGTAGGGTTTTAAAAATAGTCATTAAAGTGCTCTAAAAGTATCTCGGTGCATTAGAAATACCTTATTTCATATTACCTGCCCTTAAAAAATTGCAAATTATTCAAAAATATCTGAAAAACGGAAACTTTTGGCACCGCTGTCGCTAGTCAAATTTACAAAATTGTTCTGTGATATGACATTTATGTCAGGCGACACCATAATTTACAGGAATCATCATCATCATCATTTGCTAAAATACTTTAATTAGTTTTTTTTTCAATTTAATACAGCCTGTGTATAAATATAAACTAGGAGACATCGTTCTGTAATAAATATTCTTCATCCTACTAAAATTATTCACACATCCGTTCGAGGAAACTCGAGTCTTACTAGAATTACGTTTTGTCATTTAAATAGCATTGCAAATAAATAGCAGTTTTTGATTGCAATTTTCTTAAATATTTAATGAAGCAGTAGAAATTAAAATAGGAGATTTCATTGTTTGGAGTCTCTATATTAGGTATAAGAAAGATTCAAATCAATTGATAAAGCCAAATTTGAATCTTACTGGAATTACTGAACCTATGTTATCCCATTTAAAAATACCCTAAAGTAGCGCCCTTAACTCATTTGCTGAGAATTCTATTCAAGTTTGTCTTTCTTAAACCCACTTTTATTATTCAAAATTTGTTATCGTTACCCGAGCAAAATGTTTGGCTTTGTTGCCCTTCGGTTACTATCAGTTAAAATAGTTTATTTTAGAGAATCACTGGTCTGGATAAGCCAGATATATGTCGAGGATTTCCATCAAAAGACAATACACGACTGTACTCAAATTTGTGGCGCCCTTAAGCTATTATATGGTACTTAAAGAGAGGTTAATAATAATAAGGAAAAATGAAAAATAAAAATAATAAAAAAAAATAGAACGAAACTTACGCTTACCGCGATTTTTGGCGCCTCTTTCACTCCTTATGAGTACTTCATGGTCGTCTTCCTCCCATACTTCCCCATCGGCTACAGCTAAGCTTATTACTACGATAATAGCCAGCACGCATAAAGCTAACCACTTCATCTGAAACAGAAAAGAGAACATATTTAAAAAAAAATACGACGTAATACCGCCGGAGAGATGTTCGAAAGTGATGCCTTTTTTTTATTTTCAGTTTGATGAATTTTGCTTCAAATTTTACCTGAGGGTGGGTACGACTCTTTTAAATGGATTAGAAAGTTTCTAAGTCTATTTGGGATCCTACGCTCGAGATTACTTTGGACTTTTTAATATTCTTACGTTTTTTTTTTCAAGTCCCTCTTTCTCTTTACTATTCACCCGCTTGAGGTTTTACGCGGTAATCTATATTAAATTTCTTTACTATTTATTTATTTATTCATCCGTAGGAGTGGAACTGGAAAATTTGTGGATTAAAAAACTAGGATATACAGGGTGTCAGATACTTTTTTAACTGCGTATAAATATTTAAATTCTAAGCAACTTTTTCAAGTAAATTTTTTTAATATTCTGGAAAATAAGGGAGCATGTTTTTTTTCAATTTTTAATTATTAAAAAGGTAGTTAATACGGTCCTGTTCGTTAAAAGTTAAAGGAACTGCTCAAAATTGTCGCCATTTTGATTGGAAACGATTTGGAAACACTCAGCTTCTCCATCAATTCTTTATTTGTATAAAGATGAGCCATTTTCAATTCAACAATCGAAATATTAATTTTTTGTCATTAATTATTTATTATTTTTTTGACACCTGTATGGTAATGGCAGGTACGTATTGGAAAATATTCGAAATTTAAAGAAATTTTAAAAATTTCCACCTTATTTATTTTCCAGATTATTAACTTGAAAAAGTTGTTTAGAACTAAAAGATCTACACGCAGTTAAAAGAAAGTATCAACTTATGAGACACCCTGTATAAAGAACATTAATGCATCATAAAAGGACTTATATGAATCAACCTGTACGCATTAATTCTACTACATTTTCCACTAGTATTCTGAAAAAAAAACTACCCTACAACTCCCCCATTAATCCAGAAACAGTGTCACTATCGAAACTCCATAATGCTCTTTTCCCTGCCATAAACTTTGAAAATAACTGCTGGAACTTCGACTCGAAAATCCAGAGAGAAACCGGCTGTATTGGCAAGGCATCGTGGAAAGTGATGAATGTGCGGTGTTCCCGTGTTTTTCCGGAAATTACCTATTTCAATCGATATATAGAGCAGGGTAAAAAAAATGTACATTCGCCGCCGTCGTTGGAATTATGAAAAATTGGGCGTCTCGACGTCTGAACGTCGGATGGCCGATGACGCGGAAACGAATTTATCTAAGAGGGAAAGCCGAAATCAATTTACTCGCAGGGATGAAGTTATTGATGGAAAAAAAACGGGGGTTTAAACGTAGCTATAAAGATGACATATAAAACGGAGGAGATTCTAATTTGAATGTTATTACGATGAATACTGAGTAATTGCATCTAATTTGTATACAGGGTGTTCTCGAACTTATGGGACTAAATTCTAGGGGCGGTAGTTTGTATAATTTGAGACCGATTCGCAGAGTTTATTATTCTAAATAATTTATAGATAATAAATAAAATAGAGCCATTAGAAATAAATGCAAAGAGCGAATACAACCCTGGCCTGAATAGTCAGCTGATCGGAATTCAAAAACTCAAAAAACTCAAAAAACTCTAACTCAAAAAACAGCTCTAATTCAAAAACTCAAAAAACTCTAACTCAAAAAACAGATTCGGTGTATTTTATCAGCGAGCGCAAATTTTTGTGATTAGACTTTTGTGATTTATTTGATTGTTTCAGTTCTAAGTATTCCTAGTTTAGTTAATTCTTGTTCGTTATAGTGATGTTCTGGAACAATAGACCTATTCAGTTTACGAAAGAGAGTGATGGAGTTATTTGATTAACATAAGATAATAAAAGAAGCAAATATGTTTCACGCGCAATCTGTGGAACCATTTAAAATCTGCGCAAACATAAGTGCAAGAGAGATGAGATATTTGGCCTATTTCATTGCTGATTGACAGACCCATTGAATGATTCTTAGCTGAAAACTGTTTTAAATATAAAAAAGAAGAGACCATCTACAATCATAACCCTATTTTGTTTCTTGTTTCCGTTTAATGTTTATTGTTTATGTTCAGTGTGTTTTATTTTTAACAGTATTTTTTTGTATTATTTAGTATATTTATTTATAAAGGTTATAATTGTTTATATAGGTCAATGGGATTATTTCTTTGAAATATATATTATAGCAAACCGATCAAAAAGCATTTTGGGAAACTTTGTACTAACCCTCTTAAGCAGGCCGCGCACTGAATCGACTCGGAACGGTCGGATCGGAAAAGAGCGTTCGGAAGAGTTTGGTACATACGAAAATAAATGCAGTACCGCGCACTCAATCGGAACGATCGGATCGGAACGGTCGGATCGGATCGGAATCGTCAGAGTATTCTCGAAGGGGCAACTTTTCCGAACGTTCCGAAGGTCTATCTTTTTTTATGTAATGCTATCTTTGTCGATACTAAATTTACTTGGAATATCGTCCCCAAACTATTCATTTTTCACAGATTAAATTTAAATAAAACCTTTTTATAATGAACTATTTAATGAGTAATGTAGGTACTTTTTTATGAAAATATGTGCATATTCCTGAACCATCATTATTTACGTTAGGATATTTGACGATGCAGATTTTGGTAATAGCGATTTATTAGAAATAAGGGATGGAAATAAAGCATCCACCTAGTGTGTGGGTCAGCGAGCGAGTATACAATGTACAATAATGTATAAAATAATTAAAATATTCCGATGCATTCCGAAGTCTCTGAATCGGTGCGCGGCATACGCTTCCGTTCCGAACGCTCTGTTCCGATCCGACCGTTCTGAGTCGATTCAGTGCGCGTCCTGCTTTACTCTTTCTTAGACTTGACCTGTATGTAAATATTAAGTCTAATCCCCTTTCTGGGCAGTAAAAACAAATTTGTATCGAGTCATCGCGTCCATTACAAATTAAATCCGACGGATTATTGGATAATGACAAATGACGTCTGAAGTATGTCTTAAGTTGTCGTTGTCTAGTTGTCAGAACCGTATTGTACCTGAGGTGCGTTCGTTTGTTCGTTTAGATGTCAAGTTAATTATCCACAGTATGCGCGCGCAGCACAGGTTAAACTGAATAGGTCTATTAAGCAGCTTTCAACAACAAAATAGGTGAGCTAATATTCCTTTCGAGTTTAAAGTTTATTTTCTTTTATTGTTTGAAAAACTCGGTTTACTTTTATAATTAATCCATGATTCTAAAAAATTAGAGGGGTCGAGGGGTTTCAACCGATGTACAGGACCGCATTTCTTTGAAATATTTTTAATATTTCAAATTTTGTTTATTGCAAAATTTTCTCAAATTATGCAAACTACCACCCCTAGAATTTAGTGTCATAAGTTCGAGAACACTCTGTAGGTAGGTACTCTATAATGCCCGATTTCACCAACATGTTGTTAGGTATTTCCTAACTAGGTAAATCCTAAGGTAGGAATTACTTAAATCGAATACTTACCTAAATCGAATTTCGTCAACATTAGAAATCCCTTACTAAGAAATACCTAGGTAAAAATTTAATTTCGACAATTTTTTGAATTTTATTGGTAACATTGGCTAATTTTGACGTGTAAACTGAATAAGCGGAGATCGAAATTGAGTATGTTGAAAGAAAAGAAGAGATGTTGATGATCCGGGCCATCTTTAAACTATGTTTGTTATTTTTAAATCTGCTGAAGATGTAGTCTGTACATTATTAGAAAAATAACCTTTCCGATTTGTAAAATATTTCTACATCTTCTTCTCCAGGACTATGGATATTTACATGCATGTGTACGGTCAATAGTTCCAAAAACTTCCTGTGTATAAAATTAAAAATCATCTTTTATTCTTTCTGATATTTGTAATGCCGTATTTTTATATATCGAAAAAGGCGAAAAAAAAAAATCAGTTTCGTCCAGTTTCTAAAAACTCTCCTCCCATTTTAAATGTTCATCTAAAGAGTGTAAAGACAGTCAAGACTTAAGTCACATGAAATCACATGAAAAGTATGGTTAAGTATTTCCTAAATGTTTTAGGCAAGCCCAGTGAGCTCTCCTAAATTTAGGCATTTCCTATTACTTTTAGGTATTACTTAGTGCATGGTGAAACGCAAATTGTACTTAGGAATTCCTAAATCCGGTTTAGGTATTACCCAACTTTAGGAACTGGTTGGTGAAATCGGGCATAAGATATTACAGGAGTGAGGTTTAATTGAATTTTAAAATGTATCGAATGCTTTTGCACAATGTTGTTTTGTACAATAAAAAACTTTCCCCATTTATTACAAGTAATAAGTACACGTTTTTCATTTCCTACACACTCCATTCGTTAGTATAAATTGCTCCTTTTGGCACGATATTTCTTATTGTATAGACGGCTGTTCGTAATACATATACATCCCGTCCTCCCGGGGTAAACAAGTCTACAAACATTCCAAAAAATCCTACACTTAAACTTGTTCATTTCAAAGAACCAGCTTAGAAATGCGGCGCGCGGAATTTTAACAATCTCGTCGTCGACAGTACGTTCTCCTTTTAACTTCGGCGAAACGGAGGAATATATTTTTCCTTTCCTAATAAAGATGAGCGACTTAATATTCCGAGAGCGTCGACATTAATAAAAACACGGGCGTCGAGCCGGGACGAGCGCCGTGCGATTCGTTAAATAAATAAAGTATGTGTTGTGTGTTTTGTCGAAGAGAAGGCTGTGCAGTCGATGAATAAAATGTCGAGTAAATAGAGGGATGTTTAGTATATGTCGAAATTTAGGGGAAGTTGTTGGAAAACCCTAGATTGCTGGAGAGATCTAGTAACTTTTTGACACGTTAAATTTTTTGGGTGGAACGTTGGTAACGTGGAATAGTGGAATAGTCAAAGACATTATAACTGATGCCTGATTTCACCAACATGTTGTTAGGTACTTCCTAACTAGGTAATTCCTAAGGTAGGAATTACTTAAATCGAATACTTA